ACTCTGGGTCTTGCAAAGATGTACACACCTTGTGATTGTGCGGCCCAGCGCACACTTTACAAGGTTGTGGACCACGGCAAAATTTTGAAATGTGCCCATATCTTTGACAGTGGAAGCATTGGATGGGTGGGCCAAAGTATTCCTCTACAGGGTAAGATGTGAAACCCATTAAAATGCGCTGTGGCATCGGGCGATCCGGACGGAAACGAAGAATGACACTCTCAGTCTTGTGTTCTTCGACTTTGCCGTCATCCTGTCGTCTGTAAGCAATCTGGCGCTGAACATAGAGGACGCCGAAATCTTTTAAATACTCGAGTAGCTCACCGTCCGAGTATTCAAGAGAGACTCCTTTGATTTTCCCCGAGGTTCCGTGAGTACGACTCGGGGACACTCGTGGTCACCTCGATGGTACAAAGCGATGTAACAGCAAGAAGCCTGTTTGCCGCTAGGAGAGATTCCACGCTAACAGCAAGGCTGCCATCCTTGTTGATGCGGTGCGAGAGCAGTTTCTCTTTGGCGATGCCAATCACATCGTTGGCAACAACATTGGGATTGATGCGCAAGAAAGAGTTTTCACTGTTGACTGTTTTGAAGACTACTGGTATCCCTGCAGGGCGGTTTTTCTTGTATCGGACTTCAGTGGAAGGGTTCTCGTAATCGTCCAGGTCGACGTCTTGCATGTGATCCTGACTGCCTCCCTCCGATGGGGCGACTGTGCCGTGAACGGTGTAGGTAGAGGTTCGGTCGTCGTCGGACAGTGGATCTTTATCAAAGTCCGCGCATCGTCGCTTGGTAGGGATTTTTATAGTACACTCTAAGAAAAAATGGAGGAAAAAAGTAGCAACGGCGCGTCTTCCTCCCTTCTACTGACGCGCCCCCAACCGGACGCGAGAAAAGGGGAGGAACGAAACGTTTTTCTCCGTCTCCAGGCAGACGGGAGAAAGCTTTCGCCCTCCCGACTCATCGTCTTTCGGTTTCGTTTTTCGAGCAGGTCGCGCACGTTGTTTAATAAATAGCTGTTGAGTTGATTGAGCTTCAGCGGCACCGAAGGCCGCCTGCAATTCCGTGTTCTAGTCTAAACGTGCAGAACATTTCGGTTGCATTGACGCTTTTATCACTAATTTTATCAAACGAGCAAACGAAGCCGCTGGAAACAGCGAAGTTGCGGAGCAGTGCCAGCAGTGCCACGTACACTGGGGGATGGCCGTCTCCGGATTGCGGGACTCGCGCGCGCGGCGAACCGATGGAACTACAGTCGCTACAGTAGCGAAACCACGCGGAACTGTGTCGACGTTTTCGACGTTATGGAAACCGCAGGAACTGCGTCCAAGACAGGCAGGTTTTGCTGCCGGCTGCCTGGGTGCCTTCCGCGCTGAGTTCGGTTCTGTTTTCCGATGCCGAGTGCAACCGGCGTTCAACGTGGTTCTGTATTTGTGCGTGTCAGCAACATAGCTGCAACATCGTGATGGCAGTGTTGTGGGTTGTGAACAGAAGACTGGAATTATCGCCGATGTGACCGTGTGTTCGCGTATCAGTGGTGTAACAACAATATGAGATCGTAAACAGTCGGGCATTGATGCCGTTGGTCGGGCCGTGATGAGGGGGCGGGGTGTCGCAGGTTGACACTCCGCTTTACATTAAAAAGTTTAATACCACTTGAGGGATCAACGTGCGGATAGTCATGTTGGAACGCTGGTCTGAACAGTAGAAGCTCCTATCGCTATCGTACAATGGCCAATATGACTGTCGGAATTGTCTCGTCCCCGAGAGCGATTGCGCTCTGGGGCAAGGACTGAACAGTACGAAATCGTGACGGAAAGTACGTATATTTACAGTATGGAATTCCGGCATTAAAAAACAATAGAAGGTAAAATCGAAAAAAAAAAAAGCTGCCCTTTATTTTGCTGTTTAAATATACTACGGTTCCTGGAGAAACTGCCTTCCAAGTGGCGCGCTGGGATGAGCGCTAGACGTTTTTGGGCTCGCCACGGCGTAGCTCCGTACACTGAACACCTGCCGCAAGTCGCGGCTTTGACTGCATTCAAGTTGATCGAAAAGCGATTTCTCAGCATGTGAAGCATCACTTCCAGCTGAGTGAATATCCGCTCTACAGAGATTAATTCAAGACGGCAATTGCAGCTTTGCGCGAACAGCACAAATAGAAAAACCAATAGAAATACAGGCTACGACGTGCCGTGTGGGGAAACAAACTCATGGCTTCGAACCGCATTAGGGCGGCTCGATTTATAGGCTTTCAAATAATTACGGCTTGATCGAGCGTTTACTTTTAATAAGAGATTCATCCCTTGAGCCATTTAAAATAATTTCAGAGGTATGACATTGCTGGGAAAAAATCAACATGCTGGGAATATTTTTTATTGCTTAGGGAGTCACCGAAAAGTTCCGTACGTTCAAAACGACCAGTATAAAAGGCAGAAACGCAGAGCACGGGTGTAGTGTTCGGGTTAGTGTGGTGTTCCGTTGTATTAATATTTGTGTCTGTGCTCAATGTATGTTCACCTAATGCTTGTAATAAGTGTAGTGTGTGTGTATAGTAGAGGATCCCCAAGCGCAGGAGAGCGGCTCTGAAGCGCAGTAGTGGCCTGAAAAAAATTAATTATTTTTTGTAGAACATGAATTGGGCGGTACCAAGCGCCACCTAGCCTAGCTGCTTGCAATTACTCTGCTTGACCCCGCCATCTGGTGGCTAGCGATTTAACCTTTCACGCTACGCGATAAACAGCGGCTTCGAGTTTGTTCTTTCGAGAGCGGCTTTTGGTTTCGCGGATTGAGTTTGCCCTTCTCTGTGATGTGCGGTTGACGAAGGAATTGTGACTCGAGGAAGACCAAAGGCAACCTCAGGACACAGAGCGAGTTGCGCGGCCGCAACACGGTAGGCGCCACCATCGAGGTGTACAGTAGCGCTCGCGTGGAGGGAGGCGCTCATTACTAAAAAATAAACAAAACAATGATAATTGAAGCTTACTGTTAGTTCCATAATAGTCACTTATTACTCAACACAAAATCAAATGAGTATAATTAAAAATGTAAAATATTTTTCTCCGACTTTCCGTGGCTTTCTTGTGTTGTCGAGTTTAAACCGAAACCGTTGCCCGCACGCTTGCGCGCTTATGCGCCTGCGCGATGCAAACCCGCGGCCGTTTCGCCCGGGCTCAAGCGCCGGCGCGCCGGCTCCCCCTCGCCCCTCTCCCAAAAAGAAAAAAAAAAAAAAGAGAGAGATAGCGAAAAACAAACGGATTTATCTCCATCGCTCCGCGCGGCGCGTTCCGTGGTTTTTGGGGTGGAGTTCGTAAAGTCGAACTCAGTTTTGGTTTCCTCTTCATGAATTCGCTATGTCGAAGGGGGGTCATTCTGTGTGTTGCGCGAAATGGTGCCTGAACAGTGCAAGGGACAAGAGGCACCGTTTCTTTCGAATACCCACGGACGACAGGTGAGTCGGAAAGTTTGTATCAGAAACTGAACTAACTTTGCAGGCACAGATCCCTGTGCTGCTAGTTCGTGTTTGCTTTACTTCACATATTTGAACATCAAATATATGATTTTATTTAGATTCATGCATTCGCGCATAGATCAACACGCGCAAAGCGTGAATATACGATCGCTATTATATACTCTAGACTCTACGTATTCTTTTTCGTTAGACATTGGATCGCGTACTTCGTGTTCTCCTTATGGGAAGGCATTTACATCCAAGGAAGATGTGTGTATTGGAGAACATAAAACTTTGTGTTCGTCACCCGCCTTCAGTATTAAATAAACAAGAAGATGTTTAAAAAGAAAAAAAAAATGACTGCGGGATTTAGACAGGAGTGAACGGGGACTCAGTTCAACAGGGAGGAAAAGGGATTTAATTTCACGATATTTAAAACATTCTTCAAATTTTTACATGTAGACATTTTTTATTTTTTGAACGCAAAATATGTTTAAAAAATACCAAACCGGGAAAGGACGGAGGGAGCCGTTTGGCGATTCTCACTTATGACATGCGACATTACATAAAATATGTTTTGATCGGTTATTCACACTGAAAAATGAATTTAAAAAAAAAAGTTTTTAGATGTCGTCGTGTTCGACGCACTGTGAAATAAAAAAAAAAAAGGTTTTGTTGAATTTTTGTTTGCATTCTTTTTATGTGTTTAGCCCTTAGATATGACGAGCAAAGCGACGATTAATGTATTGCTGAGCCTTAAAGTATGCTATAAACCAGTAACTTATGACAGCCGGTTTTTGATATTTGCAACCTGTCAATTTTGGATGAGCCCCAAGCGTCTAGAAATTTCTACCAAATTCTGCTCAATATAATTAGAGAACTTGCCTGACCAGATTAGATGCACTACCCTAAAAAAAATGAGTATCTGTCACCAAAAGCTTGGGATCGAGTGTGATTTAAAGATATCACGGATAATTATCCAAACTTGCCGTCCTTTCTAATTTTGCTGAGATTTTATTTCCTTGAAACGAAAGATGTCTGAATGTTCAAACAGAAGTGTTGCCTTTGTGCAGTATATGCCACAATTAGCATATCAAAAATTTAATAAAGAGAAAAATAACATGAATATACCTTACAGCCTGAATTCAAATAAAATTCCCCACTATATGAATTATTTTGCTTATCAAGAGTTTGAAGATAATTTAGCAGGGTGAATATATTGTTCTGTTACTAACATTGATTAAAATTTGCAGATTTGAAAGGTGGCTCTCTTATGCCAACAGACCCGACCTCCTGGAGAAGCCTAGGAAAGAGGTAAATAAAGCTTTCCGGCTTTGTTCAGAACACTTCTCAAGTGACAGCTTCTGCAATGGAAAAACCAGATTGAAGGCAGATGCAACACCCTCCGTTGTTGTCACGAACATCAGAGTCCGGGCCCTTGTCACCCCTGGTATGTTTTCTGACTTCAGCAATCTGCTGCTTGAGCTGACGACTCTTTTGTTATAATTTAGGCTACTTCAGGGACCCACGCAGTGACGTGCCCGAGCCCGTTGCTGGCCCAAGCAAGGGTAAGTACTTTCATTTACCATACCGATGCATGCAGAAAAGAGAGGGAGGGCAGTAATGAAAAAAAAATTATAATAGAACTGGGCAGTCCAAGCTTTGGTTTAAAAAAAATACCATTTTCTTTGCCATCCTATCTCAGCCAAATAAATAAGGAAGAAAGCCTAATTCTCTCAAAAACAATTGAGACCTCAATTAAATGAAACTATCATTGTTCCTTGCACAGGCTCTCCTTCCTCACTTCATGCCCTGGAGGAAGAAGGGACTGCACCAGAAATGGAAGCTGGCATGGAGTGCTCACTGCTTGACACAACAGATGATGGTGAGCTTTACTCAGCAATATGCTCATTACAACTAGTTTTACCCCAAATGGGATAGTCACACTTCATATGCCCTATTTTGTGTATCCATGCAGATCCTCATATGATGGACATGGACTTAAGTGTCCCACAAGAACCGAAAACGCCAGAAACACAAGGTAAAGTGATTATTGGCACAGTGCACGGCCAACAAAATCTACTGTAATATACCGAGCGAGCGCCCACTCAAAATTTGAAGATAATCGCGATAAATAGGGGATGGGTGCATGTGAGGTCGTCAATTTCACATACTGTATATGTACTGTGCATATTTTTTTCAGATATTTCAAGTTTTTGGGGGTGGGCACTTAGTGCGGAGTGGGCGGATGCATGGTACTCTACAGTACCGTAAATTACCTGGCAAGCACCCACTCAAAATTTAGAGATAATCGCGAAGAAAAGGGGGATGGGCACTTGTCCGGTCGTCAATTTTACATATAAATGTACTGTGCATATTTCTTTCATATCTTAGAAATTTGTATATGGGCGCTTAAATGTGGAATGGGCGGATGTGTGGTATTCTACGGTAGTGATAGAGGCAATCTTGCCCGTGGTAAGCTTTATTGAAAACAGCTATGGCATGGGCTTGGCTGGGGATAAATAAGGAGAGGAGTCCTACGCTTAGAGAAAATCATACCGCATTTTTTAATCTAAATTTTTTTAGGGCTATTTCTTTGTGAGTGTGTTGTGACCAGGGACATAAAAGCTGTTCTGTTACATGAACTTTTGTTTTCTATGCAGGTCCTAAACTTATGGAGACTAGCTCTGATGTGCCCCAAGAACCAGGAGCTCCAGAAACACAAGGTATGGTTTCCTTAGGCACAGTGCTCCCTCCTGCCGGTCGGGCTTGCATCTAACATGATCAACAAACTCTAGTGGTGTAAGCTACATTGCATGTGGTAAGCTCCCAAGAAAGCTGACTGTGGTGTGGGGTTAAAACAAGAGTCTAAAGCTTAGGACGTACCTTACTAATGATTTTTTTCAACCAGATCTTTTAGCCACTTTTCTCCTCTGTTAGCGTGTCGTGACTAGGGAAACCAACATTTATGTTATTTTATGCAGATCCCCCCAAGGTAGCTGTCAGTGCGGACAACGAGGTGCCTGGCCCTTCCCACGGGGGCCATAGGACTCCCGTGGTAACTCCAAAGAAGGCTGGGCGGAGGGGGCGGGTCTTTACCCCCCGAACACAGCGACGCCTGACAAAGCTTCGGAGTGCAAGCAGCAGGTATCGGAAGGCCCTCAATAGGCTAAGAGGAATGAAAGGTTCCAAAAAGGTGTCGAGACAGGAAGCCCTAAGGAACATTAAGGACTATGTCCCAAAAGAGCTTTTTAAATTGCTATCAGCCCAGGTGCAGCTCAGATCTCCGAGCAAAAAAGGGAGGAGGTGGTCTGAGGAGGTAAAGCAGTTCGCTCTGAACCTTTACTTTCACGGGCCAAAGGCCTACAGGGTCCTATCTCGAGTGTTTGAGCTGCCCACGGAAAGGTCCCTCAGAAGGTGGCTGTCATCCATCTCTATGAAACCAGGAATAATGACTTGTGTCCTAACTAAGCTCAAAAGTATAACTGAGAATTGGCAGTCCACTGATCGGGTATGTACTTTAATGTTCGACGAAATTTCACTGAGGCGGCATTTGCAGTACGACATTGCACATGATGTCGTAATTGGCTTCGAAGATGACGGCACCAGAAGGACCAAAGATGTGGGCAGTACAGCACTCGTGATACTCCTCGCTGGTATTGTGAGGAACTGGGTGCAGCCTGTGGCTTTTGCCATCTCGAAAAGGCAGACAAATTCATCTGCTATTCGGACACTCTTGATTGGCATCATAGAACAGCTGCAAGAAGCAGGTATTACTGTCAAAGCTGTAATCTGCGATCAAGGGACAAACAATGTCAGCTTGGCTGGTCTGCTAAATGTGTCGACCGATGAACCATTCTTTGAAGTCAAAGGCACGAAGGTTTATTTCCTCTATGACACGCCACACCTGATGAAGTGCACAAGAAATAACCTTCGTGCTCACAAATTGCAAATCGGATCAGAAACTATTGATTGGACTTACATTGAAACACTGTTCAAAGTGACTCATGACACTTCTGCTGACAGCATTGCTGCACCTAATTATCATCTAAAATCCAGATTGGCAAAAAAACTAACGGAAAGACACATTTATCGGAAGCCTTTCAGTGACATGAGAGTCAAGTATGCCACACAGGTGATGAGTGAGTCAGTTGCTGTGGCACTCTTGACTCTCCTTGCCATCGGGGAATTGCCAGCTGCAGCCAAACCAACAGCTGACTTCCTCGAAAGGATGGACAAGCTCTTCGATTGCTTAAACAGCTCGGTTGTCAAGCAACCGGGGGACAAGCTGCGTTATGCAATCAAAGAGCAGTCCGAACATGCCTCCTTTCTTGAACAGTGCCTGCCTTGGATAGACAGCTGGAGGTTTGGTTCTGCAGACAAACGGCAACCCCACACTATCAAAGGATGGCAGGTCACAATCAAGGCTGTTCTCCTCCTATGGGGCGAACTCCACCAAGATCTTGGCTTTGACTCCCTCTTGACCCGCAGATTGCAGCAGGACCCGCTCGAGAACCTTTTTGGGATTGTTCGCCAGCAGCACGGCTGTAACGACAACCCGACTGTGTTCCAGTTCATTGCCGGGCTGAAACACATTATGCTTGGGAAGTTGTTTAAGCTATCCGAGAGTACGAACTGTGAGGACGACACCAGCTTTCTCCTGGCCGAGTTGAGCACTTTTCCTGTGTCTGTCCTCACAACAGGAGCTGCCCAACTCGGCCAGGCGTCAGGTGATGAAGCTGTTCAGGTCTATCCGTCTGTCAGCGACACTTCTCCAGAGGTCCCTGACATAGTAAAGGACAATGTTGTCTACTATGTCAGTGGTTCCCTGGTTAAGTCATTCCTTCGAAGCAAATCCGCAGACTGCGTCTGTGAGCGTTTCCTGACAGACGAAGGACCTGAACAGCTCCACGGTTCACACCAGTTCTACAGCCTGCTGGCGGCGAACAATGTTCCAGAGAGCCTTTTTGGGGACCTCACTGCACCTTCCGATGCATGTTATGAGTATGTGCAGCAGCTAGAAGCTCGGTTCCTAAAGAAGATTGACTCTCTGATACACCTTGGTGAGGTATGTCAGACCATCTCTAAAACCATCACAAGTGAGACTGCTGTGTTCTGTAGTAAAGAGTGTCATGAGCGGTTTGTTAATATGTTTGCTAACACACGTCTTGGGTGGTATTTGAAATTCCGTAACCAGTCATTTCATGAACAAAAATCTAAGCACTCTGTCGGAGCGAAGAAAATGAGGAAACTGGCTCACTAGGCTCAATGTGTATTTCACCAGTATTCTTTGCCACATGCAGCACCACAGCAATACTTTGAGGATTAATTTTGTGTTCTGCTACGCCATATAAAATAGGAATAATGGAAAATAGTTCCATGCAAATCCCACCTGCACAGTTACTATAGGGAGTATTCACTGGCGGTCATAGCTGAGCTCGCTGCCGCTTTCTTACCACCGGAGAAGAGAGAGAGGGGAAAGATGCTTTTGGTTCGAGTTTTGAGTGCCAAGTTAATCTTCTATAATTTTCTGGAGGGAGAACAGCGACGTTTGGGGAAGCCTGGGACCTGCAAAGGAGAGTCCTGGTGATGAGAGCACTTCTCCTTGTCCTCTTGTCGAGCGGTTGCCCGAGAGCTGACGAAAAACTCTTCCCGGGCATGCGCTGTGAGCAGTTACCTCAAATGTGGCGTCTAGTGAATACCTCTTATAGTGATTTTCACCTCAAGAACCATAGAAGAGTTTGGCTTCTAACAAAGCACTGCTAATTTCCCCTTTTATCGGGTGAACTTAGGTGCTTGTATCTGCAGTTAAGATCACATATTTGTGACTTTAATAAACCATACACATTTCCTATCCAAAAGCATATATTCTTTTTCTGATAAGCTTTAAAAAGAACTTTGTGCAGAGACTAAAATATGTATACGTATCACTCAATTTTTTTAATGAGGATGAAACATGATGCACGTTAAAGACCCCAGGTTTGTCGTCATACTGCGCTAGCAAACATTTCATCCACTATGAGCATAGGAGACACAATTAAAAAACACGGTTCCCACCCCGAGACGAGGAGAAATGAAATAAAAGACAAGACACCTTTCTCGGGGTTTAGATTATGTTTCCTAACCACCTTGCCTGCTTACTTTCGCCCCTTACAGTTCCCACTGTGCAATTAAGCAATCAAGGCAATATTGCCGCACGTGTGGCAGACTTGGCTACGCATTTGGCAGCCACGCGGAGGAGCGGGTGTCAAATTTTGCTTAACTCGGTCCTTTCTTTTATATCTGTACTTTGCTGGAAGGTCCTAGCTCATTCTCAGCTGTCATTGTGCGTTCTGATTCGGAACATTCCTGCACATATTGCATGTATAAAATCAACGGTAATGTTCTATTTCGTGACAGTCGCTGCACAATATGCTTGGTATTTGTTATTTTTAGTTTGTAGGCACAAGTTGGTTTATTAGGTGTTTATTTTCAGTTTTCAATACATCCGTTACTTTCCATCTGTTTTGAAAACATGACTGGCTGTGCTGCAGAAGTATGGGTTTGCTAGCTGCTGCACATACACTTCTGTCGAGGCACTCTGGAGCTAAAAATCGGTCCACCTGCAGCTAAATTATGGAACTGGTGCTAGTTGGCACCAGTTTATAATCCGGCGGCAGGTGGACTGATTTTTACCTGGTTTTTCACGCAATGTCGTCTATTTATAAAGGGCCAGGTTATAGTTTGTCAACAGGAACGCAATGACCCAGGCCCAACACCTGTCTTTTAATCAAGCTATTCAAAGAACCGCTTTTTTCTTGTCCATTTAGTTTTAAGCTGCATTACGCTTCACTTGTCTTTGAAGCTTCACAGTATGAAGGTTTTCATATTGTTAGGAAAATGCTTGCAACTGAAATCACCTTTTTATGTGGCACCTGTGTAATTGAACCCCCCCCCCCCCCTTAAAAAAGAGCACTCATATTTAAGTGAAACCTTTGGCAATACTAATCAGCACTTTTAATGTCACTTGTAAATTATATGTATAGCATGTGCATATTTTAGTACAAGTGCATTTGAATACGATGTATGTACAGTATGTGTATGTGTTTCGATCTATATGTACAGTATCTGCGCATTTTAATGTACTATGTGTACTGTTTGTGCACACCTCAGTGATATATGTATAGTTTGTGTGTGCTTTTCAGTGATATATATATACAGTGTGTGTGCATATGACTGTGATGTATATAGTTTATGTATATTGCAATAGGAGTGCATCGTCAGTGTGATCTTGTACATGATTATCATATTGCCATCTGAATGCTTAAATAAACATCGAGACAATGCTGCATTTGTTTCGATTCCCTGAAAGACGCCGATGACAGCTCCGTCAGGATACGGGCTGTCAGCTGCTGGGCGCAGGAAATCTGCGACACACGAAAAGACCAAAAGGTAGGCAAGGGCAAAATTTACAATTCTTCGTCATGAAAAGTAACACGGAACGCGCGAACCGCAAATTTTTAAGCAAAACTTACCGCAAGAGCGGTACTTGCGGTACCGTGGTAGGGAGCAGCATGACCAACTGAGGCCATATGCCACACGGCAGAACAAAGCGGGACAGGGAGTCCGCGACATCGCCGCCGACGGCGGCGATGTCCCGGACTTTCAGTTCCGCTTAGTTCCACCGTGTAGCATAGGGCCCGCTGGGAAGCTGCGGCGGTATGTGGCTGAGGGCCGGCGCCATGTTGGATTTTGAGCGGCTTCGTCTTCGCAAACGGCTAGGAAGCCGCTGCACGCAGCTGGATGGCGTCAAAAGTCACAATTAAAACGTCACTTTTCCATTTTATGAATATAATGCTTGCTTCTTATTTTAGTTTCACAATCTACCGATATAGCAATAAGAGGCCGATTCATTGCAGTAATGAGCGCCTCCGACCACGGAAGCGCTGCTGAGCGCCCAGTTTTCTCAGAAATCGACTCCATTGGGTCTATGGGAGTGACCGGGCACTGCCAAAGGTAAGTCTCAAAGTGCGCGAAGTAACTGGGTATCGGTTGTCTCCGTTTAACATCGCAGTGCCGTCGACGCGAAGACTGAGTAACTGCTTTCGAAACGCAAGTTTCTGTACCTGTGGGGGGAATCTGGCTTCGGAAATAAACACAGTTTATTTATTTATTTATTTATTTATTTATTTATTTATTTACCCTCAAGGCCCCGAAGGGCATTACAGAGGGGAGTTGGGGGGGGGGGGGGGGATTAGGTGACAGGGTACAGTTGTTGATACATGAAATATGATACAGTAATTAATGCACGCTTGCTTAGACACTTCAAAAATATTTACACAATGTTATAACAGTAATAACAACTAGAAAATGGTTAATGAAAACTAACAAACAAGGCATTTTTAAAATCAATAATATTGGTTATGGAGGCTATGTCAGCGGAAAGGCGATTCCAATCGGAGCTAGTACGAGGAACGAAGGAGTTATAATAAGTGTTAGTTTTGTAATTGGGGATACCGACTTTGTACTGGTGATCTACGCGGGATGAAACATAAGTAGGTGGCGTTAGAAGTTCATGGCGCATGAAAGGGTTATTATGGTAAATCTTGTGAAATAAAGTGAGGCGAAAAATGCGTCTACGGTTCATTAGTGTGGGTAAACCAAGGGTATTTTTCATTGAAGTAACACTGGATGTACGATGGTAATTACAGAGTATGAAACGTGCTGCACGATTTTGAACCGATTCCAATGTTTCAATGATAGTATTATGACCGGGGTCCCAGATAGAACATGCATATTCAAGTTTAGTACGTACTAAAGTAGTATATAAAAGGAGTTTTAGTGACACTGGTGACTGTGAAAAATTTCGTTTGAGATATCCAAGCATGCGATTGGCGTTGTTAGTTACGTAGTTAGTGTGAGTTACCCAGGAAAGATCAGAAGTTATGTAAACACCTAAGTATTTGTAAGAGGACACAGACTGCAGCGGAGTGTCGTCAATGTAGTAATTCGAGCATATGTTAGTATGACGGGAAACTCTCATGGATTTACATTTATTAAGATTGAGTTGCATCAACCACTTGTCGCACCAGTCAGATACGGAGTTAAGATCAGATTGGAGAACAGAGGTGTCAGAGTTATTTGTTATTTCTCTATATAGTACACAATCGTCAGCAAATAAACTAATATTAGAGGAGACACATTCAGAGAGATCATTAATGTAGATGAGGAAAAGTAGCGGTCCTAAAACAGAACCCTGGGGAACTCCAGATCCTACGGGAGTCAGTGAAGAGTTAGTACCATTGGCATGCACAAATTGAGAACGGTTGGTTAAAAACGATTCTATCCAGCGTAGCACGTTCGGATCAATATTGAGGTTGCTAAGTTTTAATAGGAGTAGCCGGTGAGAAACTTTATCGAAGGCCTTAGAGAAATCAAGGAAAACGCAGTCTATCTGGGAGCCACGGTCAAGGACAGAATGAAGCTTATTAGTGAAAAGTAGAAGCTGTGTTTCGCAGGAAAATGATTTGCGGAAGCCGTGTTGAGTAGGGTGAAAAAAAGAATTCGATTCTAGGAAACATGCGAGGTTAGAATATATGATATGTTCGAGTATCTTACAAGGAATGGATGTTAGAGAAATTGGCCGGAAGTTATTCGGTGAGGAGTGGTTGCCACTTTTATGAATTGGAGTCACCTTTCCAACTTTCCAGTCTTCGGGAAGGCAGCCTTCCTCCAATGATTGCTTAAAGATCATTGATAGTATAGCTGATGAATACGATTTCGTGTTCTTTAAGAATTTAGAGTTAATATTGTCAATACCGGATGAAGAGGAGAGCTTCAGGTTATTAATTATTGCAGCTATACCGTCGTATGATATTAATATTGGATTCATTGGAAAAAAGTCAGGGCAATTAAAGTTGGGGTACACAGAAACATCGGTGCAAGAAAAAGATTGAATAAATATATCGTTTAGCAATGATGCACACTCATCATGGCCTACTGGTTCCCCATCTGTGTTTGTAAGCTTCAGGTCACCGTGGTTATCATTAGGTTTGATTAAGTTCCAAAAGTGGCGAACATTTGTAGATAAAATTGTGGGCAACGTGTTAGTAAAAAAATTGCGTTTTACTTCTAATACTGCACGTTTATATTCCTGCTCGGCGTAATGATAGGCGTTAAAATGACTCTCTTGTTTTGAAAGTTTGGCTACACGAAAGAGGCGTTTCTTTTTATTTGAAAGTCGTTTAAGTCTGGTGTTGTACCAAGGGGAATTACTTTTGGATGATAATGTGCGAACAGGAATATATGTGCTTATTAGATAGTTCACTTTGTTTCGGAACAGACACCAATTTTCATCTACAGACCGTTCAAAAAAATTTTCCACAAAATAACTCAGAAATTCACACAATTCAATATTTATAGCCGTGAAATTAGCTTTTCCGTAATCACGAATCGTTTTAACTATTTTCAGAGAATGACTTGTGGTTATATTTAAGGTGAAATGCAGCAATAAATGATCACTAAAACCAGGCAGATAGGTAATAGGAGAAACAAGGTCGGCGAAGGTTGACAATACAAGATCTAGCACTGAGGCACAGGAGGGCGTAATTCTGGTGGGGCGAGACACTAGCTGAGAGAAATTGTAGTCCGAACATAAATTGAGGAATTTGTCACTGTCAGACGAAA